GTATTTCCCTGGCACCACATACAGTCCCCTGAGCACAGAGCCAGGAGTCAGTCCTGAGCACCACCAGGAGTGATTCCTGTGCACAGAATCAGGAATAAGCCCTGAGCACAGAGCCAGGAGTCAGCCTGAGCACCAACAGAATTTAGTCCTGGGCACCGCCATGATCAGAGCCAGGAGTTAGTCCTGAGCACCATCAGGAGTGATCCCTGAGCACAGAGCCAGGAGTCATCCCTGAGCATGACCAGGAGTGATCCCTGAGCACAGAGCCAGGAGTCAGTCCTGAGCCACACCCAGTGAGGCCCCCCAAAATGAAGACAAACAAACCAAAATATTCTGTACTGCCCCCAAGATGGGATTCTAAGCCTGCGTTCAAGACCATTTTCTTTCTTCTAGCTTCTTTACTCAGAGTAAAATCTGCTTCTTCTCTCATATTTACTGCTTCCTACCATCGCGTTGGGCTGGAGTGATAGCACAGTGGTAGGGCGTTTGCCTTGCATGCAGCCGGCCTGGCTGAGCCGGTTCGATTCCTCCGCCCCTCTCGGAGAGCCTGGCAAGCTACCGAGTATCTCGCCCGCACGGCAAAGCCTGGCAAGCTCCCCGTGACATATTTGAGATGCCAAAACACGGTAACAAGTCTCACGATGGAGATGTTATTGGGCACGCTTGAGCAAATCGATGAACAACGAGAGGACAGTGACAGGACAGTGACCATCGTGCTATTCACACCAAATCCAGTCTCTTTCTGCCACAGTAGATCTCTGTCACCTCGACAGCGCTACTGCTGCTGATTCAAAAGCACAGCTTTTCCACTGGGGAATCTGGCTGAGTGAGGTCGGTGACATCTTTCAAGACCACAGGAGTTGATTTTTGAAGGTGCTGTTTGCTGCCCCCCAGTAAGCACGCATCCTGCTCCAATGTAAACAGCAGCACCTCCAGGACACACCATGATCCATCAGGAATCTTTCCCCAATCTCTGGGAGTGTCGGATGGCCCTAACTGAAGCTAGGGTGCCACTTTTAATCTCCCTAGTCCAAAGAGTGTCACATGTCACATGGTGTCTGTGGAAAATTAAGGTGTGGCTCCTGGCAGGTTTAAAGCGGTCCAACAGATAGGCCTCGGTGTTCAGAACAGCGTAAAGGCCAGCTTGTTTGTCTGGGCGACCCGGGTTTGATCCCCGGCATCCCATAGGGTACCCTGAGCCCGCCAGGAGCGATCCCTGAGCACAGAGCGACGAGTCAGCCCGGAGCACCATGGGATGTGGCCCCAAACCAACCAACCAACCAAATAGAAAAACATACTGACAAAACTGCACTAGCAAAAGGGGACCTCAGAGAAGCCCCCCCCCTTCCCTCGCCCCCAACACTGCTCTGGCTAAAAATGCAGCAAATCAGGCCGAGTTCCTGATAAAAGACTCCAAATGCTATTATTTAGAGATTAAGAGGCAGGTTGTTTTGGAGATAATCCCACAAGGTAACAACATGGGCAAATGGGGGCAGAGAGAGAGACCTGAGATTCTAACATGAGGAAAGTAACAGTGTGAGCTCAGGGATTTGACAGTGACCTGCATGGGCAAGGAAGGGCTCCATGAACTGCAGAAGTGCAGTCCACCTCCCACCCTCTGGAACTGACAGAGGCAGTTCACATCTGTCCTGACAACAAAGACCGGAAGACAGAGGTGGTGGAGTGGGGGTGGGGGGGTTGGGGGAGTCGGTACCAGGTGGACTCTGTCCATCCGGGCGTATAATCGAGATGAATAATTTACCAGCACGCTTTCATCTTCAGTGCCACCGAGAGCTGAATCCTAAGGCGCTCAGGGAGACGGGAGCACATCTGCCAGCCAAGTAGACGCGCAGAAGGAAGAAACACACGAACAACCACCCCCCCACCCAACCCGCTTCCAAGGCTGGGGAGGCCAAGGAGGGTGCAAAGAAATGGCAGGAGAGAGGGGGCCAGTGTAGCGGCCCACGGCTTTAATGCGTCTATTCATTCCACCTCAGGAGTGGGGGTGCTCCACGGGGCCAATGGGATCGGAGCCCCAACTAACGCTGCCTATGTCCACCCCACCCCCCATCAAAGGGAATATCTTAGAAGCGAGTGAGAGGCAAAACAGGAAAACAGTCAGAGCCTCCTTCATCTTCCCATTTGAACTCAAGAAACCTGAGAATCATATTCTGTGTAGCTCTTTATAAGCACAATCCACCTGCTTTTTTCAAATCGAGACCTATTTCATCTTTTAAAAGAACGCATATCATGTAAAAACATACGAAGAATCGGCCTGGTGACTTTCAAAGACGACAGTCACTAGGAGCTTTGAAGATGTGATTTCTCAGCAAAGGAAGTGCTGGATAACATTGGTGTGTCCTTGCTCCTCCCGCAGGGAGCTGAAGTTTATTGAGTTATACCCATCACAGTGCTCCCGAGGCATTCCCAATTCCATCAGGCACTCCTAATCCTGTACTGTCTCTCTCTTTCCTTGATGTCCTTGGCATGGTTTTGCAATGTCCTTTTTGTATAGATAGCGGAAGACAGTTGATGTTCTGCTTTTCCACATGGGAGTTAACTGACTCCAAATAATATTTACCCCTGGGCAACCATCATATTTACTTGAGTGAAGCCTCAGTTGCCTTTACTTCCTAATACCCCCAAAAGGAGGGTCCTGGCGAGGGACTTGGGTGGACCTAGGGCACGTTGTAAGCTACCCTGGCATCGAACAGGGACAAGCTAAGTGCCATAAGATAATAAGTTACGAACACGGTCATGGAACAAACTCTGCCATAACCCTCAAAGAAGTAACTGAATCAGGACCCTGCTGGGGTTAGGAAAGACTGACTGGCCTGAGGACTGCAGTCCGGGATCTATAGCGAGATGTCCCAGGAAGAGCCAAACTTTAAGCTCTTACTGTGTCCATACAAAACGAGTAGAAATAAATGGATCACTAGCTAAGGAAGGAGAAAGCATTAGCCCTCAGATGGGATCCCACCCTTGAGCAGATCTCCTAGTAAGCTAGAGTGCTGAACCCCGAGATGAGATTGCGTCCCTGAGTTAATCTCCTAGAAGAACTTCCCCTGAAGGAGGGACTTTACCTGTTTATTGTTAAGATAATGCTCAACCCCACCTAGGTGTTTCCACCCTCACGATTCTGTAAAACTAGCGCTGTGAGACTTGAACTAACGGTCGCTGACTACCAACCAGCCTGTAGTCCCCTTCCTTCTTTTGTCTGTCCCTGGGGAGGTGGTTCTCGGCCACCTGAAGTCACAGGAACTCTAGCTGTCCTCAAATAACACCGTGTCTCAAAAACAGGGATTCAGAATTCGTGTCTCTCCTCATTAAAAAAAGAAAGAAAGAAAAGAAATGCTAGCTGGACCATCTCAATCTTAAACAGATTAATCTACGGTGTCAGCATTTAATAAGATACTTGACCCACAGGTAAAATTCTGCATCCAGAGATTATGAGAAATTCCGGTCAGAGAGACAGCTAAACTGGACGAGGAACATACCTTACATGCCATGCCGGAGGGCTGGGTTAAATCCTGGCACTCACTGCACATTGCTCTGAGCACCGGCAGGATCAACCCCCAAGTAACAGCGTGGCCCAGAGCACCGCTGGGAAAGGCCCAGAAACCAACGGGAAAAAATACGTTCACTTATCAGAAGAAATTAAAATATAAAATTTACTTCCTTGGGGGCCAGTGAGCTAGGATATTGGGTCAGATGCTTGTCTTGCATGCGGTGAGCCCAGGTCTTACATATGGTTCCCTGAGACCCTCCAGGAGGGATCCTTGAGCACAGAGACAAGAGCAAGACCCCTGAAGACCACCAGGAGTGGCCAAAAAATTGAAGCAACTTATTCTTTTCTGGGGGGGGGCGGTTAAATATTATTTGGCTTCAAGGAAGATTGAGGGTAATGACTCAATTTCATTCCTAATCGCCGATATACTCAGTAAATAAGTGAAGTATGAACCTATCTTAAATTCTAGGTTTAAAATAAATTTTTGAAAGATTGAAATCTCTGGCTTTAGAGAACTGAGTCTCAGGAGACCAAACCAATGAAAAAAAGACAGCATATCAAAAGGTGCTATAAAGTGACCAGAGGCCACATGAGACCAGGGATCCAGAAGGCCCTCTGAAGGGCACCATCTGGGAAAGAGTGAATGAGTCATGTCATGAAAGGGCCAAGTCCCTATGTCCCCACTGCGAGAACAAGCAGGACCTGCCTGAGGACAGAGGACAGGCCATGCAAGATAACTGTGGGGAAAGTTGGGCCTGCGGGCGGGCGGTCACTGCAGATGGGCTGAATCAATACACACACCCCCAGCACGCACATTCAGGTTCTCACGGAACAAGCAAACACACACACACACACACACACACGAACAACACACATGCCTCTGGGCTGTGCTGAGTGGAAGGGCTTTGAGTCTGGGGACTGGAGAGAGATGACAGGGAGGGCCAACCCTGCTCCAACCCCCAGCACTGCACATTGTGCCCTGAGCACTGTCGGGAGAGAACCAGATATGAGGAAACCATGAGCATCCCAGGTATGCTGCCCCCACCCCCCCATAAACAAAGACCTCTGTCTCTCAGCCTGATTTGATCTGATTTTTTTTTTTTTGGCTTTCTGGGTCACACCTGGTAATGCTCAGGGGTTACTCCTGGCTCCACACTCAGGAATCACTCCTGGCGGTGCTCGGGGGATGCTGGGAATCGAACCTGGGTTGGCCGCGTGCAAGACAAAAGCCTTTCCCGCCGTGCTATCACTCTAGCCCCTCGGTCTCTCTGATTTACAGTGTCAAAAAGATTTCAGGATAGAGCAGGAGCTCCAACCTGGGGTAAATGTGAACTAAACAATTAAAAAATAATGTAATCGAAACATAATTCTATCATCAGGAGAAGACACAGAGGGCCTGGTGTCAAATAAGCTTTATATTCTGCAGCTTCAGATGCCTTTCATTTAGAAGGAAGACGCGTACGAGTCAACTCAGGGATTCAAAGCATCTTACCTTCCACAGAGGGCGCCTGGTCCTGAGCTGAGTACAGCATATCCTTGAAAGCCTACGGGAAACAGAGACACGGGAAGCCGTGAGTAACACCCTGGAAAGCAGTCCGAGCTAAGGTCACGATTTCTTTTTCCAATTTCCTGGCAATGGTGACACACGGGTCCCCCGATATAAAGACCCCAACAACACATTTGGGGCAGTCCTGTGGGTGAACGTGAGCAGGGGATCTGGGCAGTGAGACACCCGGCAACGTGGGAGAAATGGTCGGTGACAGCAATCATGAAAGGTGTCAGCTAACACCCACACAGAAATCTTTGGGGGAGACCCTGATTAGTGAGCCTCAAGTTTCTAGGGCATGTTTAAGCCGTGGCTTATGCTCACCAAGCATTCACCCTTAACCGTGTTTGGGAACAAAAGGGCGGATAACTGAGTTACAGGACCTTGCTTAAGAAAAACGTGCCATGGATAATTCCTCGTCAAAAGTCATACTAACATCCCACATAAAAAAGTACATCCCTGGGGCTAGAGCGATAGCACAGCAGGTAGGGCGTTTGCCTTGCATGCGGCCAACCCGGGTTCAATTCCCAGCGTTCCATATGGTCCCCCGAGCACCGCCAGGAGTGATTCCTGAGTGCATGAGCCAGGAGTAACCCCTGTGCATCGCCGGGTGTGACCCAAAAAGGAAAAAAAAAAGTACATCCTCAACTAACACCCAAGAATAGCCGAGATAAGTACCAGGAGGTTCACTCCATGGGTTGGAGACCAGCCTCACACGCTAGGGCAAAAGGCAGCTCAGATAGAGAAGGGAGTACCAAATAAAGGGTGTTGGGAGGATCCTCCCAGGGTGGGAGAAGCATGCCGAAAGTAGACTATAGACCAAACATGATTGCCACTCAGTGCCTCTTTTGCAAACCACAGCACCCAAAAGGAGAGAGAGAACAGAGGGGAATGTCCTGCCACAGAGGTGGGGTGGGGTGGAGGGGATGGAGTGGGGGTGGTGGGAGGGATACTGGGACCCGTGGTGGTGGAGAACGGGCACTGGTGAAGGGATGGGTACTGGATCATTGTATAACTGAAACCCAAGCACAAAAATTTGTAAGTCTACAACTGTGCCTCATGGTGTCTCACTCATAGAATTTTAAAAAAGAAAAGTACATCCCCAGATTCCATCTGAGAACCGGGATGCATGAAACTGCTACTGCAGCTGCAGTTCCAACAGGCTGCACCTATAAAAAATAGATTTTTCTCCCGTTCTTAGAAAGGCATTATAAACCACTCAAGATCATAGAAAAAAATTAGTTTGTTACACATTTTGACAGTCTTGTCATCAGCTTTAATACTGCTCTTGAAAAGGGGCCAGAGCACACGACACTCGGGTTCGATCCCCAGCACCCCATATGGTCTTCCGACCCCTGCCAGGAGTAATCCCTGAGTGCAGAGCCAGGAGTCAGCCCTGAACGGTGCTCCCCACTGCCCCAGCCCCCAGAAGAGAAAAGTTTTTGCTTTGCTGTGCAGAGCTTTTCGGAGAAATATTGTGTTATATGTTATGTGAAAAGAAAGTTATTAAGTCCAGAAGCTCTTTTCAGATATCAGAAGGCTTTTAAAATTACAGGTTGTGACTTTATATTCAAACCCTTTACACATATCTTAAGAGTCACCAGGCCCCAGAAGGACTACAGCAGGATCTGATTCACGGCAGCAGTGGAAAGCCCGTGGTCAGAAGTTCAAATGCCCAGGATCCGACCCACGCAGCTCAGCTCAGCTCTCTGTGATGGCACTGCAGCCAGATGTGAACCAGTGTGCCCAAACAGGGGTGCGACCACGCACCCCTGAGCCCCCACCCCCAAGCACCACAACCAAGAACGGCATGAGAATGATACAGCCAGCAAGTGCAGGCCCAGGTGAGCACTTGGTGAGCACAAAAAGGAGCGGGGAAGCTCAGGGAGCACTGTTGCCATTCACCAGCAGGGCAGCCCAAGGGCAGAGACCCCCGTCACCAACCACAGCTGGGTCTGGGCACAGGACAAGCCACTGGGGAATAGGCAGATGCCTGTGATAGCAACAACAATGCGATGAAGGCACCAGGGAGGGAGGAGAAATTTCTAAGGCTGGCGGGGGATGGGAAGAAGCAACATGAGACTCAAACATCTGGATGAAGAGCTTCCACTTCTGGAATATTTTATGTAGCACTGTCCTCCCCTTGTTCACTGATTTGCTCGAGCGGGCACCAGTAACGTCTCCATTGTGAGACTTGTTACTGTTTTTGGCATACCGAATACACCATGGTTAGCTTGCCAGGCTTTGCCTTGCGGGCGCAATACTCTCGGTAGCTTGCCAGGCTCTCCGAGAGGGGCGGAAGAATCAAACTAGGGTTGGCCTGGGGGGACTTCATGCAAGGCAAGCACCCTACCTATAATTATTATTACTTTTTGTTTGTTTTTTGGGTCATCGCCGGGTGGCTCTGCACTCAGGAATCACTCCTGGCGGTGCTCAGGGAACCCTATGGGATGCCGGGAACTGAACCCTGGTCGGCCGCATGCAAGGCAAACACTGTCCCCAGTGTTACTATCGCTCTGGCCCTCAAATTATTATTATATATATAATGCTTCTGTCGGGATCCAAATGACCACAGTGACCAACCTGGAAACCGGAAGGAACTTGACCAAGAGTTCCTGAACTCCAAAGGGCTTTTCCTTCGGAGAGAATGAAAGATGGCCATCACGGCACCCCAACAAGGTAGACTGAAACTAGACTCTGACAGGGAATGAAAAGGAATCCAATTCGCAAGCAGCAAGCTTTCTCAGACTGGTTTTAAGATCCTCCCAGGATGGGAGAAGCATGCTGAAAGTAGACTCTAGACCGAACATGATTGCCACTCAATGACTCTTCTGCAAACCACAACACCCAAGAGGAGAGAGAGAAGAAAAGGGAATGCCCTGCCGCAGAGGCAGGATGGGATGGGGGGTATGGGGGGTGGGAGGGATACTGGGATCCGTGGTGGTGGGAAATGGGCACTGGTGGAGGGACGGGTGTTTGATCATTGTATAATTGAAAGCCAAGCACAAAAGTTTGTAAGTCTACAACTGTACCTCATGGTGTCTCACTAACAAAAAATTTTTAAAAAAAAGATGAATCGAAGACCGGATAAAAAGAAAAATCGACAACAGTCTTCATTTAGGTCACAAAATTGAATTCAGTGAAGACAATTCTCAAGGAAATGAGGGAGGGCAACTTTTTCTTTTCTCCTCAGTTCCCTCCCGGCAAGTGACCCTCTCTGCGGTTTCTGGTGCGCTTCTCCCCAGAGAACTCTGCAAAGAGGGTCCCTCAGTGCCTGTAGCAAGGTCATCCCAACTGGCCTGGGACAGTCCTCCAGGCATCTATGAGTCACCCAAGGCAAACACACCAAAATACACAACAGATTTGGGGGGTGGGAGCTGAAATGCGCTGCTTTACTTAAAGGAAATCCAAGCCTTTCTCTAAAATTCTTAATCTGAGCCAGAGAGGTAATACAGTGGGCAAGGCACTTGCCTTACAGGCAGCTGACCCAGGTTTGATCCCTGGCACCCCACAGGGTCCCCCAAACCCATCGGGAGTGACCCCTGAGTGCATTCTCAGGAGTTAAGTCCTGATCAGAGCAAGGAATGGCCCAACCCGTCCCCTCCAAAACATCAAAAAGCAAACAAACAAAAAACCTTAAAATTTATATATATCAAATCAGCGTGTATTCATGTGTCACAAAATATTTCTTTGAATCCTTGGAAACAAACATTTACATCTGCATCTCTGCTATGAACTGTGAAGATTAAATTATGCCTGCTAATAAAACACTAACTATGGGGTGGCCAGAGAGACAGGAGAGGAGCACTTTGGCACTTGTCTTGAATTCTGGCACCACACATGGTCGCCCAAGCACCACCAGGAGTGATTCTGAGTCCAGGATCAAGAGTAAACCATGGACACCACCAGATGTGGCTCAAAATACAAAACTTAAAAATAAATCAAATACAGGGGCCGGATCAATAGTACAGCAGGTAGGGAGTTTGCCTTGCATGCGGTCAACCCCAGGTTCGATCCCCGGCATTCCATATGGTCCCCTGAGCACCGTCAGGAGTAATTCTTGAGCACTGGACCAAGAGTAAACCATGAGCACCATCAGATGTGGCTCGAAATATAAAAATTAAAAATAGAGACTAGGACAAAGCTCAGGGCTTATAACAACACACATAATACTAAAATGTGCCATATTAAGTTCAAATATTACACTGTCACTATAGCACTGTCCTCCCGTTGTTCATCGATTTGCTCGACTGGGCCCAGTAATGCCTCCATGGTGAGACTCGTTGTTACCGTGTTTGGCATCTCGAAGACGCCACGAGGAGCTTGCCAGGCTCTGCCGTGCGGGCGGGATACTCTCAGTAGCTGGCCGGGCTCTCCGGGAGGTGCGGAGGGATCGAACCCGGGTCGGCCACGTACAAGGCAAATGCCCTCCCCGCTGTGCTATCGCTCCAACCCCTCACTGTAGCTAAAACAAAAAAGGGGGGGAGGGTAGAATGTGAAGATGAAGTGGAGCCATGACAGGTTCAAAGGCTAAAATTCACAAATTAGTAATTTCGATTCCCTATGACCCAGCAATCCCATTCCTGGGATGATACCAAGGGTCCAAAAACACACAGCAGAAAAGCCATCTATCTGCACTCCGTTGCTCACTGCCGCCTCTTCACAGCAGTTAGAATCTGGGGACAACCCAGGTGCCGGAGAACAGACGGGTGGAGAAAGAACTTCGGTACAGAGACATGATGCTGAGTGAACAGAGTCCACGGGCGGGAGCGGACACAGAATGATCTCTCCAGAAGCTGGGATCGACAACACGCTAGAGTCATGTTCTGAAATGGCTGATAACATCAACAGCAGTATTTCTGACAGAAACCTACAACCTACAGGGGGCAGGAACGATAGCACAGTGGGGAGGGCATTTGCTTCGCATGTGGCTGACCCGGGTTCGACCTCTGGCATCCCATGTGGTCCCCCGAGCGGTTCCTGAGTGCAGAGCCAGGA